TGCATTCATCTATGAGCAAATTTCTTCTTCTCTATTTGCCAATTTTGCGACAATCCTGTGTGATTGTCTGTAGGAACACCATTTACTGTGGATGCCTTTCGTTGTGGTTGTGTTCAAGAATTTTCTGCTTATTTCCTTACCCTCTCTCACGCTGATCATTACACTGGTATCATTTAATCCCTGGTAAGCTCTTTGCTAATGCCATCTATAGGTCTAAGTATTTCCTTCAGATTTGGTTTTCATATGATCTGTCAATAGAATTACCTTTACTACTTCATATGTTTAAATGTTTCGTCAGATTGAGTAATACATGTAGCTTTAGCAGTGAAATATTGAAAGTGCGGATAGAATGAACATCTTTGTGAAAGTGTCGTCTCTTCTCTTTGCTACTAGTTCTTCCTTATGCTGCTTTCTTTATAGGGAAAATCGCATAAAAAACCTCCAAGGTGCCTAGCACTTACCTTTTAAACCTCTAAGGTTTTCCACTATCAGTTTAAACCTTTAAGATGGCAATGTTGACACTTTAAACCACCAACATGGTATTTGTGTACGCGCCGCCAAAATTTTTAACGGAATGGTAGACGTCTTTAACGGAATTTTAACTCTGTTTAAAATTAGCTAGTTCCGTTTTTCTTTGATTAAAAGCATGTCTGAATTAATTAAAATAAAAAAAATAACATATTTATTAACAAAATAAAACACGAGCATTGAAAAAAAAAAAAAAACGCCCAAATCGATTTGGGAATTAGGTAAATTCCGTTAGGATTTGATTGGAATTGGAATTGGAATTGTGATGAATGTTGTAATCAGTTTTGCGAAACGATGTGAGCCGATAAATACTGTGGTATCATTCATATGGTGGATCATTGGATTCTATTGGGTAGTTGAAGAAGGTGGAGATAAGCTTTTAGGAGAAGCTCCTAATCTTTACTGGTAAGTAAGAGATTTATCGCTTTGTGTTAGGTTTAGAATCAAGAAGATTTGCTTTGTGTGTTTACATTTCTATCAGTATTTTCGCAGGTCGTCGGTGATTTTTCTTGCGATTGATGTGTTCTTCGCCGTTTTCTGTGTTGTTCTGGCTTGCCTTGTTGGAATAGCTCTCTGCTACTGTCTTCCTTGCATAATCGCCCTTCTTTACGCTGTTGCAGGAACGGTATGAACATGAATATAGCTTCTCGAAACACGGGTTTTTGTTGTTGGCTTAATAGATTAGCTTTACAGCATCCTCGGCAACCATTGGTCGGAGTAGGAACCATTTTACCAGCTCCGTTGCTATTGAAAGCCTGAAATTTGTACATCGGAAGAACACCGAGTTCCGCCTCTGACACTCCTTCCTGTATTGTAACCCACATGGAAAGTTGTAAGCTTTTAAGCCAACTATTACGACGACAACAATTTTGTTACTTTGAAACTCTGCTTTATAAAGTTTTCAAAGATGTCTACTTGATTATTTTTTACAGGACTGTTGCATATGTCTGAGTTCATACGAGGATGGTGTAGAGCTTCATACTCTTCCTTGCAACCATCATTTCCATTCGAACTGTATCGTTAAATGGTTTAAGATGAGAGCAACATGCTTAAAGGAACCACTGATCAAGCTTGAAGACAAAATATAATAAAAGTAGAGACGCAAGATTCTGCATATATGGAATCGGTTCCATTTCTTTGATTAAAAGCTCTAATGTATATATATTTTTTGTTTTTGGCGTAACTCTACTGTATATACATAACTATCAAAATCATGTATCTTTTGTTAAAAGTATCGATTTTAAAAATGTAAAATATAACATTTTAGAAATGCCCTTTATGTATACTTGCCCATATTTGGGAATACAGCATCAATCCTTTGCTAGCTAACCCATAAATCAATGTCGTATAGGTTAACAAGTCGAGCTCGAGTCCCTCTTGAACCATTTTGGTTTTTAACTTAAACGCATCCACCAAATTCCCTTGCTTACACAACCCTGCAATCCATGAAGTGTACATGAACTTATCCGGAACCACTCCAGCCTCAGCAATTTTACTAAAGAGCCTCTCAACTTGGGGAATAACCTCATAAGCCCCAAATGGACAAAAAAAATTCTTAGAACCCTTTACAAACCTAACAGCCCCTCAATCTTTCCCTTCTCAACTCTACCCTTCTTTTCTATTATTATTATATATAAACATCCAATTAAATAATCCACCAAACTAAATAAATTTTTTACCAACCAAATTAATTTTCAACCAATCAAAAACAAGCACTAAA